TTTGCCAAGTCCCCGGCTGGCTTTGGAGTCAGGAGTGAGCTTGTTTGGCAGAACAAAGGGGAAAGCAGCCTCCAAGGGGCCATAAATAGCAAGGAAAAGGGAGTGGCCTGGCCTGAAGGCTCCACAGGACCTTGTCTCTAGGCTTGTGTTCTCTGCCAAAGCTACCATCATCCTCTCCCACATGCTTTGGGCCAGCTGGCCAGAGCCTGGACCATGTTGGTGGCAACCTTCTTGCCCCACGAGCTGCATCTCCCTGGGAGTCCCTGGGTGCTGGGTTCCTCAGGTGCCTGGTAGGCTGGGAGGTCAGTGTGACCTGTACATCCCAAGGTCCCTCTTCCTGCAGGAACCAGGAAGTTTGGCTAAAGTCAACAGTGGTAAAGTTTCCTAAGAGGCAGAGCTGGTCTAGCCTTGGGGCCTGGAAACTTGTGACACCGGGATATACTCAGGCTGGGAGGGGTACCAATACTCCCACCCCCAAGGGAATCTTGTTCTCTTTGCCCATAGTCCAGACAAATATGGCTGCCTACTTCTTCAAAGAAGGAGAGCAGGACAGGAGGTGGAGGGTGGCAAGACTAGACACTTTTTCTATTTGAGCCTCAGTTTCTTCAGCTGTAATATGGGATCCTCACCCTTGGCCAGCCAGCTCCAGTCCCCCACTTTCTTACCCCCTATGATTGTGAGATCAGGTCAGGTACAGCATCAGAGGCTTCCTAGAGGAGGTGCCTTTTGCACTGGGGCTCTAGGCCCTGGCAAGACTTCCTTCAGAGCGGGTGAGAGGGTGTTTTAGGAGAGTGCACAGCATAGGCACACACATGGAGCTGGGGAAGGTGGGCAGTGTTTGGGGACCTGCAGTTTCAGTTCAGTGTGGCAGAGTCCAGAATGCTCATGGCAGTGTGATGAGGTGTCTTTCCCATCCTCTGGGGACCTTAGGCAAGGATGTCTGAGCTGGGAAATGGCCTGAGCAGAGCTCTGCTCTAGGAAGGTGGGGAGGGAACAAGAGCTGGTCTGGATGAGAGGCCAGTGGAAGACTACAAAGGGCCCTCGGCCTTCTCCTTTGAGCTGGGAAGGAGGTCTCCTGGCAGGGGGTGGGGAAGGTCAAATTCCTGTCTTCACTCTGATGATCTGGCCTACTCAGCAAGGCTGGGCCACCTTTTATTCTGAGTGCAGGCCACCCAGACCCCCAGGCTCTGACCCCGGGGCCCCCCACCAGGAATGTGGCCTGAGCTCTCCATGCCTCAATCTGTCTCTCCTTGCTTCCCACTGATTCTCCATGTCCTGTGTCCAGCATTCTTCAAGGTGCCCACTCCATGGGCCCTCAGGAAGAGGAGGGCTGGTCGGGAAACTTGGTAGAGAAAGTCCAAGCGCTTTCTCCATCCTGGGCTCTGTCACTGGCCCACCCAGAATTATTGTGGCACTGTCACCAGATGTCCAGGCTTCCCCGGCTGTGTACCTCACTTTAGAGGCAAGCTTGGGGCTTCAGTGCCTAAGACGGGAAGGACTTACCCCAGGCCAGGTACTTTCTTTCATTCCAGCAGCCTTGTGGGGTTCTCACCTGGCCAAGGGTTCATCTGGGTCTCTAGCATGCCAATGGAGAAGCCCTCTTTAGCCACCCACACCCTAGCCGACAAGGCAGGGAAGAAGGGCTGTGAGTGTGCGTGGGAACTGCTTTACAGGCAGGCTGGTGACTGGCCCTCCCTCCTAGAGAATAGAGGAAGGGGCCTTTGTGGAGCTTGTTGCTGGGTTCTGGAGCCCACTGGGTTCCCTGCTTTTTGCTCACACTTCTGTTTTGCCTTCCACTCTCTGGTGGGCCTAGGATGGGGCCAGTGGTGGGAGAGTGGAAAGAGAGAAGCAAAGGCCCTCACTACCCCAGCCACCTTCCTTTAGGTGTGGACCCTTTCGCCAGCGTGCTTGAGGCTAGATCTCTTGAATTCAGTCTCCATTCCCAATTTTGATTTGATTTCTCCTTTGTTTTATTGTATGTACTTAAGAAAAGGCCATCTCAAAGCCATTTGGGAGGAAGTGGGTCTAAACATATAAACATGATTAAATCATAAACATGAACCACTTAAAAAAAAAAGACACTTTGAAGAAATGTGAATAGTTTAAAAATGGGGCAATGCTTGGCTTCCTGACAAGTACCTGAGTTTTTATAGCAGTTTTATTTGTGATGGCCAAAAGCTGGAGACAACTAAGATGTCCGGCAATAGGAGGATGGTTAAGCAAACCGGTGCATCCATACCGTGGAACGCTACCCGGAAATAAAACGGAACCAACTGTTCATTCCTTTTGGCTGCGTCTCAAGGGCATTATGCTGAGTGAAAAAAAGCCAGTCTCAAAAGGACACATACTATCTGATTTCATTATGTAACACCCTCGAAAAGATGAACATTTCAATGTGGAAAACAGATTGGTGGTTGCCAGGAGCTGGGGCTGGTGGGAGGAGAGGGTGAGTGGGCCTGTCAGGAGAGCAGTGGGGAGATCTTGGTGTTGATGGAGTGATTCAGTGTCTGGATTTTGGTGGTGATCTCATGAGTTTACATATGTGATAAAATGACATGGAACTGAATGCACACTTTATACCAATTTCCTGATTTGGGTATTGTGCTAGTAAGGTGTAGTCACTAGGGGAAACTGGGTGAATCTATATTATTTTAGGGAAGGAAATATGGGGCAACTTCTGTGAATATATATTATTTTAAAATAAAATGTTTAAAAATGTAAATAAATAGGCAATTTGAGGTCCTGCTTGGAGGGCGGCAGGCTTGTCCTCAAGGCACACCAGGAGCTGTCTGGGAACCTGGGAAAGGCAGGAGGGCGAGGGGCGAGGGGTGAGGGCGATGGAAGAGGGAGGTCAAGAGTGTTGCGGCAGGGGGAGAGCCCCGGAGTGCCCATTCCCGCATGGCTGCTGGGACCCACAGGCCGATCATCGCGGGCCGGGAACACTTCCTACGGGGGCGTGGGCACAGAGGTCCCGAACTGTGCCCGCGAGGAGGAGGCATGTGGGGTTTGCCTGCAAGGGTTCTAACCACGTGGGGACAGCGAGGGCGCACAGAGGCACAGAGCTCAGCGGTACACTAGGGGTGTCTGCGCGAGGTGCTGGGTGGCCCAGCAGCAGGTGCTGGCGCCCAGGTCCAGAATGGCGCGTGCGTCGCAGAGCGGAGCCCGCTGTGCCACCAGCGACCCGTGGAGCCGCCGGGCTGCACTCAGGCGTCTGGCCCCAGCCTCGCGGTTGCCAGAAGCGTCAGCGCCAGCGCGAGCCGGTGGAGAGTGCGATGATCCAGCCACCTGGGGCAGCTGTGATGTACCCCAAGACTGGTTCCCTGGAGTTCACACAGCTGATACCTCAGGCGAACATTCCCGCTAGGCTCTCTGGCCTCTTCACCAGCCACCAAGACGCTCCCCTCTGCTGTGATCCAAAAGGAGTTCCCCCAAAGCGATGTACATTGATGTGGCTGCCTTGTCCCACAGCTTTACCAGCCCCAGGCCAGAGCAGCACCTTCAACTTGAGACTGGGCCTGCTCAGCCTACATTCAAGGTTCTTGATAACTGGATGCTGGTCCACCATTTCTGTGCATCCTCAGCTGCCCTTTCCCAGCCATCTCTGTCTCCTCTTGGTGGGACTCACCAAGGACCCAGTACCAGCCTAACTGACTGCAGGGAATGGCTTTCTTCTCCTCTCCCTTCTTTTCCTTTTGGCAGACTCCTATTCACCCATTCAGGCCCTGCCCAGATACTCCTCTTCTGAGAAGATGTCGCCAGCCTCCCTTCCTGACCATGATTATATCTACTCTCCTGTTCCCTTGGCACAATTCTGGAGTTTTGTACTGAGCAGGCTTATTTTTGGTCACAGGCTTTTTGGGAGGCAGGATTGTGCCTTTCTCCATCTCTGAAGCACTGTCCTTTCCCCCAAGCACAATGGCATGTTAGAAGCCTAGTATGGTTGCCACACATGTGGGGCAGGGATTGGGGCCACCATCATTCAGATGAGGCTGGTATGAACGTTTCAGGCTTCCAGGGCCCAGCCAGTTTGGGAAAACAAGTGGTGAGTTCTGGCCTCTTGGCTACTTTGTCAAGTCATCCAATGTAATGCTCCTATTTGCTGACTAATTTCTGTGTGTCCTGTTGTGCAGGGTTAAGGACTGTTGCATGGGCCATTTTACAGATGAGAAAACCTGAGGCCTAGAGGGAGTTACTGCCTCAGGCGGCAACAGGAGGAATTGGGATTCAGACCTAGGTTGCCTGATGTAAGAACTTCCTGCCCTGGTGCTTTCAGGCTTTTCACCATCCTGCCCAGTTCAGGGGAGAGGGGAGGGCAGAGTCCTAGCTCCAGCCTGGGTGTGACCCCAGACCCATCTGCCCAACTTCAGCGGGCTTTGGGACAAGGGCTCCAGAGTGTCCTGACAGGGGCTGCTAAGTGGTATCAGGAGAACCTCAGACCCAGGCCCAGCCCTGATTTTGTTTTCATGTGGCTTTGGCTCAGTCAGGACTTCTAGGAGGGTTTGGATCTGCAGATTTATTGCTGCGCTCAGGAATTTCTTGTCCACTTCAGACTTGGATGTCTGGGGGATGGCTGCCTGGGCTGGGAGTAAAACTGGGGTTATCTTGGTCTCCAGATGAGGTGGTATCTGCTTGTGGAGTTGCTGGGAAAGGCTCTTTGCCTTGGATCTTGCTCATGCTCTCCTTCCGGCCCCTGATAAAGAGTCCCAAACACAGGGCCATAAAGGTGGCCATAAAAATGGAGAAGAAATGCTGGCGCAGCTGGCTTATCAAAGCGCATCGCGACGCCAGCCAGGTCTCCCTACTTCAAGTTTATTTCTCCTCCTCTGCTTTCTCTCAGAAGGTGTCTTGTAAACAGCTAAGAGGGTCATTTATAAATGTCTTCTGCCTTTCCTTCTCAGCACAGGCACTGCTGCCTTGCTCTCTTCCTGCCTCCGGGTACATGGATGGTGAAGAGATGGTCCAAGCATGGAGCAGGGTGACCTTTTTCTCCCTTCTTCCAGGTGCCAGCTGAGATGAGACATGGAAGCTGGAGGGATCTGGCATCCCAGGGAGGCGTGAGGCTCCCAGAGGTGAGTGACGTCGACCCTAGTCTTGCCAGCATCCTCCCATCATATTGGTGGGGGGCGTGGGGTGGGCTGACCTCTGAGGAGGGGGTACCTTGCCATGGGCTGGCCTCTGTGGTTAACCCACATCACAGAATCAATCCTGTGGCATGAGAGCTGAACAGACTTTAGCGATTGCCTTGTGCAGGTATCTCATTATTCTGGTGATGCCCAGGGATGGTGGGGGTACACTTTCCTGAAGTAGAACCAGAGGCAGAACTCGAATCTCTTGCCTCCTGACTGGGTGCAAGAAGCACGGCCTCATAGCCATAACAGCAATAATCCCCCCTGCTTGTGGAGCATGTTTCAGGATGTGGATGGCTTTGATGGCTCCCATTTTGTCTGATCTTTGCAGTGACTCCTTGGGCAAAACACGTGATTCCCATTTTACAGATAAGAGGAACTGATGCTCATAGGTGCTGGGTGCCTGGGGCTGGCTTGCAGTTAACAGCTGTGTTCACTCTTTGCCCCTTCCATTCTTGACAGAGTTTTTCTTGTGGAGTTTCTTCTCATTCATTTTCAAGAGTGGCTCATGAGACATAATCTAAACACAGCCCTCAACTCCCTAGTCCTCCTACCCTAACCTCCTGAACTGTCAAGCCCACAGCTTCATAGTCATGAGACGAAGCAGGGTGGGGTACTTCCCTGGGTGTTGGTTCCACTTCTTGGGGGTTGTCTGGGAATCCTAACAGGTGAGAGGCTCGTGGCTGTGTTGGGCAAAGCTCCTCAAATGGTGAGAAGCACTGGGGACTCGAGGTCCTGGCTGAGAGGGCCCCAGATTTTGAAGATGGGTGGGTGGGGTGGTCAGAATGGGTATGGGAGGGGCCCTGGCTGTGGGAGCATGAAACTTGCCTGAGTCCCTGTCTCTCTGTCAGCACCCAGTGCTTGGCAGGCAGCAGGCACTCGGGAAATGCAAATTGTACAAATTAACCCAGCCTCAGTGGCCATGGTAACCGTACCTGCCTTGACCACAGAGTGGCTTCCTTTCTTTTATAGTGCTTTTTGTTTAAAGGTATCTATGTATTATATCATATCTATTTAGAACCTCCCCACATGCCCCACCCAAGCCAGGTAAGATTGTTTTCACACCGGCTGCTTTTCAACCCAGCAGGACTTGGTTTCGCTCTGGGCGCATCCGTCTCTTGCACGAGGTGGGAACTCATTCTGCATCTCTGCGCTTCCAGAGCGGATTCCTTCATGCAGGCCAATGTCACTTGTGAATAGGCCTCCAAAAATAAGTTCTCTGTGATTTAGGAGGATAGGTTCTCCCTTCATTCAGGATCAAACAGAGGTTTCACATGGTCTGGTGACTTTGCTGGGTTGCACAGAGAGCTAGCTGCAGAGCCAAGGTTATGATCCTGGCCTCAGTGTCTCTCTTTGCCTCTCATTTCTTGTTCTTTCCCAGGGTAACTTGCTGAATGGTTAGGGGATGTGCAGGTTGCTGTGGTGGCGACCCTTGTGAGGCCAGGCAGGGGAGGCCCTTATGTCTGCCTGGTGCCTGTAATATATTTGAATTATCTCCGCAGATGAGCCCTGATTTAGCAAACAGTCTAGAGTAAACCTCAGCTTGAAGACAAATACAATTGACACTGGGCTTGAGTGGTTCAAAGGTTATTGGCACAAAGCTGTCAGCTTTGTTTAGCCAAGGGGATGTATTTATGATGGGTGATATGCAGTGCCATCCATAACTTGCCGGCAAGAGAGGCTGACGTCGGACCAGAGACAGCTTATTTACACTGAGCCTGGAGTTTAGCTTCTCTGCTGGGACATGCAAAGGCAATTTGATTCTTGGCCAAGTTGCTTCATGGGTTGCTGGCTTAGGTCTGGTGTCATAATTTGGGTTATCAGTTAACCTTGCACCCCTCAAAGGGGAGGGATAGCACCCCTCAAGGGGATCATTTCCTGGGTGTGCGTGTAGCAGGGTGAACTGGGGGAAAGGCAGAGAGGTAGGAGAGGTCCTTGGGGCTGTTCAAAGAAGCTGATCTATGGGTTTCACACTGACCCCTAATTTCAACCCCACATACACTGGAGTAGCAGCATCTCTGAGTCCCTGGGGCCTGGGACTTGTTTCCTACCTGTATCTCTTGGATGCTGTGGCTAGTTTTGGCAAAAGGAACCATGGGGCAGACTTGCACTGAAGAGATGCATGTGGCTGCAGTGCTAGACAGGCAGGCTTTATAGACACGGGATTCCTTGGGAGAGAAATTATCCCAGGAACGAGCAACCTGTGGCTGTAAGAAGCTATGGCCGGTGCTGGCAGAGGTGTGTGGTTTGGCATTTTGGAGCGCAGCAGGCAATCTGTTTCAGGGCCTTACAATATGCTTCCCTTGGTGGCCCATTCATTCCACTGGCTAGAATCCATCCCGAGGAAGTCATCATAGGTGGGGACAAAGATTCATGCACCTGGATGTTCACCACTGTGTTATTTATAATAGCAAAAAAAGGAACAAGTTAAACATCAACAGTAGGAAATTTTTATTACATTAATTATGGCATCTCAATTAAATGGAATACTGTAAATTGACTCAATTAATGTGTATAAAGAATGTTTTATGATTTGCCAAAATGATGCTAAGTACAGGAGAGAAATATTTTATAAATTGTAAAGTGTGGTTTCTGTTGTATAAAACAATCTATGAAGAAGGGAAAGACAGCAGAATGTAAGTGAGTTAGCGCAGATGGTGGGATTCTGATTAATTCCCTGACCTCTTCATGGAATATATTTTCAATTTCTGCTAGAGGTACACATTACTTTTCATCCTCAGGAAATATTATTGAATTAATAAACAAAAATCAAACTTTATACTCCTTTGGTGATCCTGACCCTTCTTCAGGCCTCAGTTTCCCAGGGCCCAAGAGGAGATGCTGGGCCACTCTTGTTCTGCCCTGGCTTGAGTCCTGGGCTGGGAGGAATGATCCTCTGAGCCAGTGCTGGCAACCTGCCCGTGATCACCATGTCCTGGGTCTAATGGGCCACCTAATTTTAGTGCGTGCTGGGGCAGCTGCCTAAGTGTGGCCCCAACTGCCAGGCAGACAGTCAGGGTGGTGTTGGCAGCATCAGCAACCTCTCACCAGCCAGGCTGGTGAGATCAGAGCACAGCTTGGGACCTGGCTGGGTAAGTCACAGAGCTATGGGGGGATTCTCAAGTGTCCATGACACAGAACATCACAACCTGCATTCGGAAAGAAATCCACTAGCCAGGATCCTTGGATTCAGTGGATGGGAAGCGGGTGCCTTTGGGGAGTGAGCGAGAGGAAAGGCCTGCATGCTTTAAGTGCTGAGTGTCATTTTGCTGGAATTCCAGAAGTCACTCTGCGATCAGGGCTCCCGATTTATGGCTTGAACTTGTCTCTGAGCCCAATTTCATCTGTCAACTGGGGACTTGCATGGAGACATGAACATTTCCCCGAAAGGTCTTGACTGAGGGCATCTTCTGATAGTGGACAGATATGGTCATCGTGTCCTTTGCCAGAATAGCTGGGAGTGTGAGGTCTTCAGGGGTGTGAGCTTGAGAACAGCTCTACCAGGAAGATGGGCCAAGAGCGAATGGAGAGCAGGGCGGGGATACTCTGGCCTCCTCCCTGATCTCCTACCTTCAGCTTTGTGTCACTTGCTTTGCAAGTCAAGCCGTCTTTCTATACCTAGCTCTTATTTGTCGCCCTCACCCCCGCCCCTGTGTTGGCTCTGCAGAGGCCTTGAATAAAGCTAAGATCCCTGAGTGTGGTGTTCAAGATCTTTGCCTAACTTGACCTCAACCTATTTTCCTGCGCTTTTGCTCACATGCTCCCTACTCTAGCTGAACCACATCCTGTTCCTTCTGTATTCTTGAACACACCATACATTCTCATTTCCCTTAGGCGGAAAGTTTCTTCTTTGACTCTAACTCAGTTTAGTCACTATTTATTTATGGAACACCTACTATGGCACTGGGCAAGACTCACTTGATAAACTCCTATTCAACCCTCAAGACCCAAATGTCTTTTGGTCTGACATGCCCTCACCAGCATAACCTCTCAGGTCATCCCATCTCTACCGATGATGATGTTTTGTGTCTCATATTCTTGAAGTGTTTTGTCTGCTTTTCGCACTGGGCCTTGGTAACTTTCCTCTGTGCTCCTGGTGCAAGGCATAATTTTCTGTAAATAGCTGTTGGGTGTCATCATTCAGAGAAGAGTCATTAGTGAATGCCAGCAGAGCAAGTGAAAGGATCTATTCCCTGGAGTTGTAAGGACATGGGATAATGATAGCAGATAGTGTCAGTTTACACTTACCAAGCACGTACCATGTGCCGGGCACTGTACCAGTTGCTTTCCATGTGTTAACGCATCTAGTCCTCCTCAGACCAAGAGATTGGTGTGGCTACCCCTTCATGTTACAGACAAGGAAACTGAGGCACAGGTAAGTTAAGTCACTCATTCAGGCTCATGCAGCTCGTAAGCAGATGAGCTGGGATTTGAACCTATGCAGCTGGGCTCTGAAACTTGCACAATATTTCTTCTGTCCTACCAGGCACAGCAGTGATATTTGCCCCCTGGGAAGTAAAGGGTAGCCCCATACCTGGTGGGTCCTGGTGCTGTAGACGGTTGTTGATGGCAGAGATGCATGGTGCGGGGATGGTCAGGGATTCCCTCAGGGGGCAAGGGCTTTCCTGGATCTATCCTAATGACATGCCCAGGCATATTTTTACATCTCCTTACCTTACCCCACTGCCTGCCATGCAGGGGATGGAGTCCCCTCTCCTTTGCCTCTCTGCAATGTGCATTCATTTTACATGCAGTTATGATGCACTTACTGCCTAGGCACTGGGGGAGTAGTGGTCACTGCCCCAGTGGAGCATGGTCTCGTCAATGGGCATGGCTTCCACATTATTCCCACATTGCAGGTCTGACACAGATGCCAGGTGATGCTGACCCCTGCTTGCATTTATCTCAAGCTCTGGGGTGGCCTGGGGCATTTCTGAGGACCC